TCGTTACAATCATATCCTGGTACTTATGAAATTTTCTCCAATCTTACATCATGTATATGTCTCTGGCAGACACAAACCTTATAGTACAAGAAAATAGTGGATGACCCTGAATGCCTTTATATTTGACATTTACAGAGGAAAGATTCCCCTAATGTGGAACGGACAGTGATTGAAGGTTAAATAAATAAATAATATATTCACATTTTTAGACAGTGTAGAAATTGTGTATAAGGCATGCATGTGTCAGTGTAGGTAGTGATTAACAACATATATACTGTAGTTGCATAGAGTTACTTTTGCTTTGTACTTATAAGTGGCAAAACCCCCCAAAGAAACTTCACTTGTCTTGACCTGCCATTCAACCAATATGGCCAAACGTTGGGAAATTTTGCATAGCGTAGTACAGAATATATGAATAATATAAATTATAGCCTATAGGCCGCATTGTGATTAACGATTCCATATTTTCCATTCATATTTGTAAATATTTTAAAGTACATGTAATAAAGTGTATGCACAATTTCAGTATTAAAATATTCATTTCTTTTATCCAAAATTCTGTAACACATTCTGTTTAGAAACACTTGTATGTGTGTTGTTTAGCACACATAAAGGTGTGTTTTAGCAATCCACTATTGTGTGCTAAATAACACACCTTTTTAGATAACACACTTAACAATAACACACTGTTGTGTGTTTTTAAACCCACTGTTGTGTGCTAAATAACACACTTTTTTCAATAACACACGTAAAGCGTGTTAATTTTTGGACAAGCCAAAAACACACCCTAGGGTGTGTTATCTAACACACTAGTGTGTTATATAACCCGTGTTAATTTCTGGACAAAATAAGTAGGTTATATAACACAGTTATTTTTAAGAGTGTATATATATATATATATATATATATATATATATATATATATATATATATATATATATATATATATATATATATATATATATATATGTATAAAATAATAAATTAATTAGAAGGATCTGTGCGCCTTATTCAACAACCATGGTTTGAAAATTACTATCGAGGCTAACAAGAAAATCGTAAATTTCCTTGACGTCACACTAAATCTAACCACCGGTAAATATCACCCATATTCTAAGCCTAATAACACACCTGTTTACGTGCATAGCAAGTCTAACCACCCACCCAGTGTTCTGCGTAATATTCCATTATCCATTAACAAACGACTAACCGAGATATCCTCTGATCAAGATTCATTCGAACAAGCCTCCCCGTCATATCAGCAAGCCCTTGACAAAAGTGGTTATACCCACAAATTACTGTTTAAACACCCCCTAAACCAATCGAATAACAAGAGTACCCGAAGCCGTAAAAGAAAAATTATATGGTATAACCCACCATATAGTAAGAATGTTTCGACTAATGTTGGACAAACCTTCTTGAAAATAATTGACGAGGAATTCCCCGCAGATCACCCACTACACAAGATATTCAACCGTAATACAGTCAAGATTAGCTACAGCTGTATGCCAAACATCAAGCAGACTATCGATGGACACAACAAATCTACGTTGGCTACAATTTCCAGCACTAGTGGTCTTAACATGTGTAGTAGTTGCCCTAAAAGCAATAAAGAACTGTGCCCACTATCTAACAAATGTACCACTGAATCGGTTGTATATCAAGCCACAGTCACTACTAAGGACAAAACAACAAATAGACCTCCCCAAACATATGTCGGACTTACAGAAAACTCGTTTAAAACTAGACTTGCAAACCATAAAGCATCATTCAACTCTTTCGACAAACGGAACGCTACCGAACTAAGCAAATACGTGTGGGAATTGAAAAACAAAAACATCAATTATACAATCAAATGGAAACTATTGAAACGAGCTAAGCCTTATAACTGTGCTTCAAATCGGTGTAATTTATGTTTATGGGAGAAATACTTTATTATTTGTAAGCCAAAAATGGCCACTTTAAACAAACGAAATGAGTTAGTGTCTGCATGTAGGCATAATAAAAAATTCCTTTTAAGTAACATTTAAAATGCTAGACATTTAAATATACCGCGGTGTGTTAATCTTTCCGCGTCCTGTCAGCTTATCACATAACATGTTAATTAAATCGCGTGGTTTGTAAATAGGATTAAGTTTTTTAAAGTCTCATCCACTTGTATACATATATAACCTTGTAACTTTTAATCTATAGTCATTAGGTCAATTTATCTGAAGAGTGCCACATTTTGTGGTACGAAACTATTTAGTAATAAAGATGCCTAGTGGATGTTGTTGATTGTTGTACCTTAATTTATATATATATATATATATATATATATATATATATATATATATATATATATATATATATATATATATATATATATATATATATACGACAAGAACGCCATTCAACTTAATACGCATGATCTCTGCATGTCACAGATTTAAATCAGCGCAAAGGCCTGTAGGCTAATTGTGCCCCAAGCTCACTACCAGCAACTGCGAGCGCAGTGTAGCTGATAGTGAGCTTTTCATCCGAAAAGTATTTATACAACCAACAATGAGATGATGGATGTGGAACACATGAATTATATATGCGACAAGAACGCCATTCGACCTAATACGCATGATCTCTGCATGTCACAGACTTAAATCAGCGCAAAGGCCTATAGGCTAATTGTGCCCCCAAAAGCTCACTACCCGCAACTGCGAGCGCAGTGTAGCTGATAGTGAGCTTTTCATCCGAAAAGTATTTATACAAGCAATTGCAACAATAAGATGATGGATGTGGGACACATAAATTATATATGCGACAAGAACGCCATTCAACCTAATACGCAAGACCTCTGCATGTCACAGATTTAAATCAGCGCAAAGGCCTATAGGCAATTATGCCCCAACCTCACTACCAGCAACTGCGGACAGCTGTTTCGCCCTTTTGGGGCTCGTCAGCGCCGTGTAGCTGATAGTGAGCTTTTCATCCGAAAAGTATTTATACAACCAACAATAAGATGATGGATGTGGGACACATAAATTATATATGCGACAATATATATATATATATATATATATATATATATATATATATATATATATATATATATATATATATATATATATATATATATAATATAGTCATCCACCGTATATGAGCTGTTCTGCAATCTGATTGGTTGAACTACTCGCCGTATATCAGCTCATATACGGCGAGTAGCGAAAAACAAGACGGCGGTCCAAAAACTACATGAGTTTTGCGAAGCAGAAAAAGGAAAATATTCGCTTTGAGAATAATAATATTACAAGGAAAAACTCTCAAAAAAAATTTGACAGGTTAGCAAAATACATTTATTACGTAGAAATTAGTTTAAATGCAAGTTTTTTAAAGAATTAATACCGAAACAACAGCGAAAAAACATGTTCATTGAGAATATAAATTGTTTAGAAAATTTTGCAATGAACGACAAATGAATTTGCAGTCAACAAGCACTTACTATAGTACCAAACATCTCTATAATATATCTGAGCTTTCCTGTGAGATATAGAGGTTCTAAAACCATTTCTTTCACTTCGTCTTCGAGTTGTAAAACAAAAGTATTTCAAATTTTCAAGCGGTGTTTGGCCGAAAAAATTGTCAACACATTGTAACAGTGAACAATTAATTACTGCTTCAGTTAATGGCTATATCAGACTATATTATAAAACAATTATACCATTCGCTCTCGTCGTATATGGCTGATAGCCGACTCGGTGCTACGCACCTCGTTGGCTATCAGCTCATATACGACTCGAGCTCATGGTATAATTGTTAAATCTATATATATATATATATACATATATATATATATATACATATATATATATATATATATATATATATATATATATATATATTAAGATGAAAATGTTCTAGAGTGGGTAATTTATAATTTCCATACCCAGCGCAAGCAGAAAGATGTTGTCTACCGCGGCTGGGTCTTGAACCCGCGACCTTCGAATTACTAGATCGACGCTCTACCAACTGAGCTACATGGTCAGACGGATTTAAGACTGGAAATTATGAAATATATACTGAATGTCATAAACATACTCGTTTATATTAATTCAGCATCGAACAATACTAGTTCTGCAAGTGTTATGTTAAGATGTGTAATTGTACACTCCGTAATATATTAAGATGAAAATGTTCTGGAGTGTGTAATATATAATTTCCATACCCAGCGCAAGCAGAAAGATGTTTTCTTCCGCGGCTGGGTCTTGAACCCGCGACCTTCGAATTACTAGATCGACGCTCTACCAACTGAGCTATACGGTCAGACGGATTTAAGACTGGAAATTATGAAATATATACTGAATGTCATAAACATACTAGTTTATATTAATTCAGCATAGAACAATACTAGTTCTGCAAGTGTTATGTTAGTTGTGTAATTGTACACTCTGTAATATGTTAAGATGAAAATGTTCTAGAGAGTGTATTATATAATTTCCATACCCAGCGTAAGCAGAAAGATAAAGTCTGCCGCGGCTAGCCGCGATATTGTCTGCCGCGGCTGGGTCTTGAACCCGCGACCTTCGAATTACCAGATCGACCTGGTAATTCGAAGGTCGCGGGTCCAAGACCCAGCCGCGGCAGACAACATCTTTCTGCTTGCACTGGGTATGGAAATAATATAATACACACTTTGTTCTGAATCCTTCACATTTAATCACATCATCAATGCGTTTGGGCATGCTTAATAAAAGATTGTTACTATAAGTAGTTGGTATTTTAAGTATAGTTTTACGCATTCTTGCTTTAAATTCAGGCCACGTTTCTTGATATATGCACTCCGAGATAGCTTGACTCTCGAGCTGCTTTTTCACTATGTGGAATAAGTTCTCGATAGGATTAAGATCTGGCGAACGCGCAGGGATTTCAAATAATGTTGCACCAGAATCGTTTATTGCTTTCTTAGCCACTTTGCTTCTCTGTGAAGGGTCATTATCCATAACAAACCACTTTTGCTGATTCTCAGCTGTAAAGAGCGTGGACAAATTCCTCTTAACGAAACCACTGAAGTATTCCCCACTCATATGCTCATATTCTTTAGCAAGGACAACGCCTCTATTGAATGCAATAG